TTGTAATTTCTCATGTCATAGAGGTTGCTAGAGGCTAGGTTGTAGTTACATTTTTGGTGGACGGTTCAGGGAAATTTCCTTTTCTTTTTTTCTGGATAAGAAAAGTATTATTAATGACTAAAGAATGATGAGGTACAAAGTTGAGGGTAAGGCATCCTCTAAACAAGCTCCTTCAATATCAGAGGAGAGAAGGACAAGAAACACACATTACTAAATTTCCTCTCAATTCCTTTGCAATATAGGTAAAAGAATATCCCTAAAAATGCCACATGCCTTGACCCTAAAAGAGGCTAGAAGAAGTATTCTATCAAAAAAAGTTGAGGCACATAGCGATCTGAAAATTCTCATTGTGCGCCAACCATTTTTTTTAATTAAAAAAGTATTATTAAGATAAAAAGGAAAATGAATACTTTTTTTTTTTGAAATAAAGAGGAAAAGGAATACTTACACGGAATAAATCATCCCCCATAAAGAATTATGGACAAGAAGGCATCATTTACAGTAAAACATGAACCCAAAAACCATATAGGGAAGCAAAATATATCCTGCCTATTACGATGATGGTCAGTAATAGGTAGATCAGAAAAGTTCCCATGAGCTTCGGCCCATAAAGAGGCCAAGAATTCTAGCCTCTCCCACAATTCCAAAAGTAATGAGTTATGGTCCTCAAATATCCTTCTGTTCCTCTCTAGCCATATGCACAGTGAACTCGTGAACACGGCCTTTTTCCACAAGGGTCTCGCAATCTTCGTGATGTCTTTCCCAAGAATGCTTATAGTCATCAGACTCTCAACTGTTGGAGGAAGAACCCAGCACAGATAGAAAAGGTCAAGTATCTTGTTGTGTTTCACAATGAATAAATAAATAGACGTGTCTCCGCTCCTTTGTAACATGTTATACAGATATCTGGAAACACAGCTTGGCTAGGCCTTCATAATTTGTAATATCTCATTTGTATTAAGACTTTGATGAATGACCGTCCAAATCACCCCTATATTTGATGGAGCTGGAACTTCCGAAATTGGTTTGACACTATGGGAAGGTTAGTGGTTGCGTGTATGGGAACGTTAGCGGTTGTGTGTTTAGAAAGATGATCAAGGAAAGACTTATAAATGTCATTATGCTCCAACTATAACACCCATACTCTGGCAAAATGGCACCTCTCTAAAGAATCCTCGTTTCCTTGCTCAACCCATCTCATTCTAATGATGATCTCAAGACAATCATTTTTTTTTCTTTTGGGGTGGGGGGATACTCACATTAGGTAAAAACTACCAGAAAGCTTTGTTCATAGGTTTCAAGCCATTTTGGGTGAAGGAAGTGTCTGTGGATTCATTTGACTTAAAAACATCACATTGTTAGTAACAGCTGTCTAGACAAAAATCTTTACCTTAGAAGAGAATTTTCACCTCCCAAATGTGGAGCAAATGTGTTGTATTCAACTTGGTATATTTGCTTGGATATAGTATATTTTGGTTGACAAAATATTTAGAGATATAGAAATTAGAGGCATTCGTTGCTAACCATTTCTTTTTATTCTTGCAGTTATATTTGCATTTTTTTAATACTTCTATTCATGAGAATATATATTTTAATAAAAAATTATTGTCATGTTTCTTCTGTCAGAAAAAATTATGATACTGCAATCTCTTTCAGGTCATGCTCATCCAAGAACAACTTTCAAAGAATAGAATAATTATTGATACTGACAAGAAGGGGAAGTAAGTAACTCTTGCATTATTGTTTTTTTTTTAAATTCATGTACTATTGGATTGTCCTTTATCTTTCTCCTTTCCCTTAGGACCATTTGTCACCGTCTTTGTTTGGGATCCGATGATTTTTTAGCTTGTCTTTAGGTTAAGGCACACGGCCTCTATAAGAATATTTCTTTGTTTATTTGCAGGAAAATTGACCTGTTGTTTTTTATTGAGTTCATTTTTCTGCCTCAGTTTCTCTATTTTTCATTTTTGAAGTACAATTAGTCCTCTTTGTACTTTTTTAAGAAGTTTGCTCGTGGACCCTTTTGTATGATCTATTTTCTCAATGCTTGAAGTAACATCCTAAGATGTTCCTAGTCGTATGTTTGTAATGAAAGAATAGTATGCTTTAAAGCTACTGGAGCATTGGGGATGAGTAGAGTGTTGACTTGGTTAATTATAATTCTGCAAGGAACTTGGAAAGAACATTTAGTTTAAATGACATGATGCTCTTATTGGTGATTTGATTTTTAGTTCTATTCTCTATCCCATCTGAAAAAAAAGAACTTCAGAACTCTTTTGATCTTTTAGTGCATGCTAATTGTGGAGCTCCTCAGAAGAAAGAAGTAAAGCCCTCAAGAGAAAAGAGAGAACCATTTAAAGTACCCACTGTGCTTTAAATTACAAAATACCTATGCAGCTTATTTCCTTTTGTTTTTTTTTGAAATATTATAGATCTTATTTCCTTATTTATGTTCTTGGCCACCTTATAGGTCAAAGCTCATAGGAAGTATTCCAGTTTACCGATCTCTAAGCTTCATTGGAATTGGAAAGCTGTTACTTTTTTACCATAGGCTGCTATAGCTGTTGTGTCCTATATACATTTGATGGTTCTATTTATATTTTTTGAAAGGATGTCTTATTCTCCCCATATTTACTTGTTTCTCTTGATTCTTAATAATATTCCTTTTTCTATAAAAAAAAACTTACTTTTTCTTATAATACAATTTCCCAATCTACTTTTAATAAAAAAATTTTTTAATAGAAAAGAAGTTACATGTTTGTTTGGATTGGATAATTAGTTTGGCTGTTTGCTTGAATTGGATCACAATGCTTTGAAAATGTGAAAAAACAAGTTATTTTGTGTCTGTTTAGGGTGAGTGAGTGGTCTCGTGGCTGTCTGTCTTTTGATGTCTGGTGGTTTTCAACTCCTGACTTTATTCTTTTGTTTTTTGTTTGAGCTTTTAGTTTTCTGTGGTCACTTGTAAATATGGTGCCTATATCTATGTAATGAGCTTTTCATGGCTATTCTAAGATGAGATCTAAAGGAATGGAAGTGTAGAAAGAACTTTAGTGATATTTAGAGGTTGTATAAGTTTATATACAAGTTGAGTTTATATACAAGTTGAAGAGTAACAAACCTTTAGTTATGGGTATTAGTGGCGGAAAGAAACATGTGGCTCTCATTCCCTCTTGATATTTTTTGGGTTGTGTAGAAAGAAAGAAACAAGAGATTTTTTGAGGGAATGGAGGAGGCTAAGACAGGATTAGAAACGTGTGTTTTCAGACCCTGGGTTTTTTAGTTATGGATTATCCTCTATATTCTTTAGAGAATTTCGGGGATCTCATTGACATTTTAATTGACATATAAATAATTTGATATGTGGGTTGACAACCTCTTGATGCTTGTATTTAGTGACACATACTTTTTTATTTGAAAAAAAAGAAGAGTAACAAACTTTTGGTAGTAGTGATCTGGTTAAAGGCTTTTGAGTCACTATCTAACTTGTACGTCTTGGCTTAAATGTGTTAGCTGCTAACCTGTCGATCCATTTTCACCTATAGCATTACACTTTCTGATGTCTTGATCTTTTTTCTGTCTGTTTGCTTGTTTTTAGTATAAATGCATCTGTTACAAGCAGCACGGAGGCAACAAAAAGCAAAACAGTTATTCAGATGGAGAAGGAGAAGCTGTATTTATCTCTCAATCAATTTGTGAAAAAGGTTTTTTGTTTTTTTGTTTTTTTGTCTTTTGGTTCGAATCCTCCTCTTCCCTTGCTAGGTTTGATCTTGTATCGTGGACTTCATTTTCCTCTATTTTTTGCTTGGCTATAGATTCCTATCATAGTGGTTATAAAAGCTATGGGAATGGAGAGTGATCAAGAGGTTGTGATGATGGTTGGTAGGGATCCTCGATTTAGTGCTTTACTTTTGCCTTCTATCGAGGTAATATATTTGATTGAATTCTACATATCTTGTTGCTCAAGCTTATTTTCTTTAGTGGTTTGTTTTTAGGTTGCTCAATTTCTTTGGGGATAAATGGTCTTTTTGGCCTCATTATGGTGCAAGGTGCATGGTGTTTGTAAAGGGTTTTTTTTTTTTTTTTGTCTCTCGTGATTGAGTTTGGTCAACTCTTTCATGTTGATATTTTTCTAGTTTCTTTGTTTCCTTATCATAAATATAGTTGTTAACAAAGATCCAAATCATGAATTGAAATCTGAATTTTTTGAAGCAAGAAATTTAGGATCAAAATATAGTTTTTAGCAAGTTAGACAGGACATATGTATGTTATAATTGGTTTAGGTATGAATAGGATAGAATGTACAAGTACTCCCTCTTTTGTCTAGCAAATCTTGAAACAAATTTGAGGTTTTTTTTCATCTCTAAGATAAACTGGCTTTGGAGTTATGTTCAGAACAGTGTATTTATTGGTTATATCATATATATCAAATCTAGAAGGCGAATGCTCCTTCAGGAGTTGCTTTATATGCTTGGGAGGTAGGGTGTGGATGTATTTTCACTATTGACAAGTTAATGAGAAGGAGAAAAATTATAGTGAACTACTGTTTTCTATGTAGGAGGGCGGATGAATGTTGTATTCGTATCTTGCTTTGGTGCCCACTTGCATACAAGTTATGAACCATGACATATGGGCTCTTGGGGACTAGTTGAGTAATGACCGGGACAGTAAGGGATGAGATTTGGGACTGGAAGGGTGTTAGCGGCAGGAAGAAACATGTGGGTCTCATTTCTCTCACTAACCTGGGTACTATTTGGGTAATGACAGGTGCAGTAAGAGATAAGATTTGAGTCTGGAAGGGTGTTAGTGACGGGAAGAAACATGTGGGTTTCATTCCCCTTGGTATATTTTGGGTGGTGTAGAAAGAAAAAAACAGGAGAGCTTTTGAGGGGGTGGAAGATTATTTTGATAGGGTTTAGAGATAGATGATTTCAAACATTGGATTTTTGGTTGTCATCCATTG